TACTAGCATAAGTGGTAGTTTAGTTTAGGTAGGGCCTAGGCTTAGTAGCCTAGGCCAAGGGGAAGTCGAGAGATTTGTGCCAAGGAGAATGTCGAGAATGGAAAAGGTGATGTTCACTATAGCACTAGGGTACATATAGCAAACAGAGCATGCAAAGAAGGTGCACCACCAACAGTTTATAATAACTACACTAAATTACAGCTACAGGCAGTTACATATATATTCTAACACTCCCCCATAACTGCCTGCAGCAGGAGTTTGTGCAGAACACAACCTGCAGGGGTACACCAGCAACAGCAACAGCAGGTACGGTAACAGAGCAGGTACAGCAGCAAAGGGACATGCGACAGCAAGAAATTCCTGCCACCCCCTTACTCTCTTCCCCCCCAACCACAGGAGTGGCAGCAGGGAGAGTGAGGAGGCGGGCTGGCTCTGGCTGGTCACCCCCTCCATCTCCTCACCCTCCCCCTCCCCCTCCCCCCCACACTGCTGCAAGAGCAGTAGAGGGGGGAAGAGAGGAGAGGTGGAGGGACGGCTGCTGGTTGGTCTCACACCCGCCACCCCAGTGCCACTCCCCCGGCTCCCCCATACCCTCACACCCTCCCCCCCAGCGGCACGGCAGCAGTGAGAACGAAAGGAGGAGGGGGGGAAGGGAAGCACACCACCCATCACCCCCACACCCGCCACCCCCATACCCTCCCCCCCACGGCTGCAGGGAGACGAAGGATGAAGGGGTGGGCGGGGAGAAAGCCGCAGAGCGGCTACAGAGGGTCGGCGCGAGTAGGTCAGGGGCGGCTGCAGCGAGTGCAGGCGCGGGGTGAGGCAGAGGCGGCTGCACCGAGTGCAGGAGCGGGGGCGGCTGCTCCAAGGGCAGGCGCTGGGTGGTGCAGGGGCGGCTGCAGTGAGTGCAGGCGCGAGTGAGGCAGGGGCACCGCCGAGTGCGCCGAGGGCGGGTACGCGGCGGCTCAGGACACCGTCGCAGGCGCCAGGGGCGGTTCCGCGGCGGCTCAGGGCACCGTCGCGCACCACGGGGCACGTGACGGGCAGTTTAGAGCACCGTCGCGTGCCACGGGGCGCACGACGGGCAGGGCACCATCGCGTGCCACGGGGCGCACGACGGGCAGGGCACCGTCGCGTGCCACGGGGCGCACGACGGGCAGGGCACCGTCGCGTGCCAAGGGGCGCACGACGGGCAGGGCACCGTCGCGTGCCACGGGGCGCACGACGGGCAGGGCACCGTCGCGTGCCACGGGGCGCACGACGGGCAGGGCACCGACGCGTGCCACGAGGCGCACGACGGGCAGGGTACCATCGCGTGCCACGGGGCGCACGACGGGCAGGGCACCGTCGCGTGCCAAGGGGCGCACGACGGGCAGGGCACCGTCGCGTGCCACGGTGCGCACGACGGGCAGGGCACCGTCGCGTGCCACAGGGCGCGCGACGGGCAGAAAAGATGTCACTCGCCACCCGGGGGCGGGACAGGACGAAAATCGCCACGCGCCCGAGGCGCGCGACCGGAAAAACAGCAGCGGAAGCGTGAGGCGGGCCCACAGGCCTGGACTTAACAGGCTCTGATTCCATGTTGAGACACTAGCATAAGTGGTAGTTTAGTTTAGGTAGGGCCTAGGCATAGTAGCCTAGGCCAAGGGGAAGTCGAGAGAGTTGTGCCAAGGAGAAAGTCGAGAATGGAAAAGGTGATGTTCACTATAGCACTAGGGTACATATAGCAAACAGAGCATGCAAAGAAGGTGCACCACCAACAGTTTATCATAACTACACTAAACTACAGCTACAGGCAGTTACATATATATTCTAACACTATAGACATGACCCGACAGTACCCATGACCCCGAATCCCGACAACCCGGTGCCATGAGCGCAACAATTCGCCGAAATTTTACAAGCAGCACGGACTCGAGCAGCAGACGCGATTTAAAATCAAACATCATCGCTAAACGCAACGCCGACTGCCACCGCCGACCTGTCACTTACCAGCCCAAGGACCTGTCAGAATATTATCTTATGTTCTCTAGCCTGCAGTGGGGTACTCTATAGCGAGTATAACCCCTTAGGGTTTCGTATATGTATCCCCTAACTTCTTTCTTGCCTAGCTAGGTTATTCCTAGCTATGGCTTCTTCCATTGCCTTACTATCTTCACATGGTATCAGAGCGGTCTCGGGTTCGAATCCCGGTGTATGCACATGTAGGCCGGTGCCGCTGTGCTTAGTCCTGGGCCTCCCAGTGTGGGGGGGTGTCAGTAGATCTGCACTGTGGATGCCCGATTGATCCTGGAGAGGGTTACAGACGCGTTCGCCTGGGGGGTTATGGGCGTACTGACCCGCTACTGAAACAAGCCCTTTTATCCCAATGGTCTAGTGGTTGGGATTCTAACATGGTGATCAGAGCAGTAAGCTCCTGGCCTGTGTGCCTAACCACGAAACTTCCGCTGCAACTATTCCTCTCCCTTTCCGCCGTGCGTCCCGAGGCGCGCGGCGATTTTTCTACCCGCCGTGCGCCCCGGGGCGCGCGGCGTTTCTCTTCCCGCCGTGCGCCCCGAGGCGAGCGGCGGGTTGCTGCCCCGTCACGCCATGCGCCGCCCCCGGGAGACACTGTGACGGGCGACGGGGACCTCCGCGTCGCCCCCCGTCGCCCGTCGTGGCCTCTATGCGGCCCGTACAGGCAACGCGCGGCCCGTATGGGCTGCGCCAGGCTCACGCGCGGCCCGTACGGGCTGCGCCAGGCCCACGCGCGGCCCGTACGGGCTGTGCCAGGACGTCGCGCGGCCCGTACGGGAGGCGCTCGACCCGTGCGCGACTCGGGCCGCATGCGCGCGGCTCGGGCGTCCCTACCTGGCCCGTGGTGGGCCCCTTTCTCCACACCGCCCCCCCCCCCCTTTTCCCGTCGTCTGTCGAGGCGACCTGAGGGGGCCGCTCTGTGGGGTGACGGGTATGGGGGTGGCCGGTGTGCATTCCTCCCTTTGCTCCTCCTCCTCCTTCGTCTCCCACTGCTGCAGCTGTCGCTGAGGGGGGTGGTTGTGTGGGAGACTGGGGTTTAGGGTTTAAGGGGGGTGCGTGGGAGTGGAGCTAGCGGTGTAGCAGTGGGTGTGTATCAGGGGGGTGGGACTGTCTGCGGGAGGTTGAGTGGAGGCTGCCAGCTTGTTGTCCGCAGCACCTGTAGTCCGGGGCGTTGTCCCGGTAGCCCAGTGAGCTTGTCGCTGCGCCAGTCGCCTGTGGGTCCGTTGCCCGTCTGCCGCTACTTAAGCCGCGGGGCCTGTTGCTCCTGTAGTCCGGGCGCTTAGTCCGGTAGCCACTGTGCTCGCCACTCCTGTTGCCCGTGTGTCTGCAGCTTCAGCCGCCGTCTTCTATCTCCTCTCCTCTCACTCTCCCTCCTCCTCCTCACTTGCCCGTTGTGACTACCACTAGTTTTGCTCATATTTGTGAACTCTAAACTATTGCTGCTTGAACTTGTGCTCAGAATGTGTGGTGACATTGTGATCCACCCTGAGCTTGTACTGCTTTGCTTGCTCTGCTGATTACACCCCACTTTGGCTATGGGGGTGTGTCAGAATATTATCTTATGTTCTCTAGCCTGCAGTGGGGTACTCTATAGCGAGTATAACCCCTTAGGGTTTCGTATATGTATCCCCTTGCTTGCTAGTGCAAACCCCTCTTTTGCCTAACTTCTTTCTTGCCTAGCTAGGTTATTCCTAGCTATGGCTTCTTCCATTGCCTTACTATCTTCACAGGACCTAGTTCTACTCGATACCCAGAACCTCCGCCTGCCCATTACTCCAAAACTCCGCCCTCGATATTGTGGGCCATTTCGCATCAGCCACATGATCACACCCGTCACCGCCCACCTCCTCCTCCCGCTGACTGGTACGTCAGCCCGTCTTTCCACGTCAGCCTGCTCCGCCCCTACGTACCATCCACCAGCCAACTGCCCCGCCACCGCCCAGCCAGCATGACACGACCGCCGACAGACCCAATCATCACGCCCGAGAGAATTCTGAGCCACCGAGTTCGTGACCCACGAGGAGCTAATAGGGTCGAGTTCCTGATCCGCTGGAAAGACCGAACGCCCACTGAAGACTATTGGGTTCCCGTGGACAGGATTGAAAACCACCCCGTCCTCACCGAGTATCTGCGCAGCCGGAATTTTCGGGATATACACGCACTTTTGTAAAGAGGGCTTTCTTAGAGAGGGGGGGGGGGGGTAAAGTAAGGAAAATTTCTTTCCCTTACATCGCGTCCCTGCTTAGCGCGTACACCACTGTTCCCGCCAACACCCAACAGTAAACCGTTACCACTCGCGACATTCGCCTTGACACTGTTCCCGCCACTGTTCTCGACGCGACCCAACCTCACGGTTCGGTTGGTAACCCGCGCTCCGGACCTCCGCCTCGGCATTTCCCAACCTTGGCGCCAGGCCCGTCGCGCACCCCATTTTCATGCACTACCGTTACCATTGTAGTTTCGCTATATATTCTTCGCTCATGCCTTCGCTCGTTGTACTTTTGCTTCGATAGTGCAATTCTCGCTCGCTCACTCCATTGCACTTGTAACAATGGGTCGCTGTGATGGGACAGGCCTTGTACAGCCTACCAGATATAGGAGTGGCAATCCAAAATATGGGCTGATCTACAATTTCACAGGGGTGATTCACAAAAGATGGGTGGTGATGAATATGCAAGATGCCCTATCCTCAAAATGCTAGTGATGACTACCTGCCTAGGACGAGTACTGCAAGATACAGTGCTAGATTGTTGCACGTTCAAAAAGCCGAATCTACATGCGTTGGGCCTGGCTAAATGCCTGGAGACGCATGACAGGAGCGAATGGGTGCACAGCTGTATGCGTTTGCGGAGGATGCATCATGGCATGGTGTAGGCGAGTGAGGAGCGAGGAGGGGCGTGCGGGGGGGAGTGGGTGAGGGAAGGAGAGAGAGGGAGAGCCAGCAAGAGAGCAGGTGCTGAGGATGCAAGTGACTGATGAAGTCACTAAGAGCAGGTGATTCCACGGCAATGCACAATCCATCCGATGAAGAAGCAGGCGCAGACGATGATGCCAACAAGAAGGGTGACGATGGCACACTGCAGCGCAACGCAAGAACACACACACACACACGACACAAAACACATACGCACTAGGTCAGCGAACACAAAAAGGGCCAACTGTGACGGACTGAGTTCCCTGAAACTTCATGTGTCAGCGTGATGTGCGGGGATGGGAAGAAGCAAGAATCACCAATCCATTATGCATGCTGCTGTTTGTCACCACGCTGCTTGTCTGAATGCGACACCGCGCATGGGAGGAAACACGAGCATCAGTGCATGTGCGTACCTTGTAAAACATTTGCCTGCGAGAAGAGGCCGACGCACGGGCTCCTGCAGCAAGGGAGTTCTGGAGGCAGTGATCCAAGGGGCAGGCACGGAGGGGGGGGTTGGAAGAGGTGTGTTGAGGCGGCAATGGAAAACAGCATAAGCAATGTGAACTTCCGGTGTTGAGACGAATTTTCCAGGATAAGTAATGGGGATTCAGATTGGTTGGGGAAAACAACGGGTGGATGCTTGAGCACACGTGTGTGCAGCACACATACACACATACACCCACCCATACCTTGTTGCCAGCATCAGATGCCACACGTGCTTGCCCCAAGGTCTCCTCCCCCACGTCTATGTACACTGCTGCATCCTTCGCCCCGTCACCCGCCCCCCTCCCCATGCCCTCCCCTGCAGCCGCCTCTGCGGCCCCGAGTGTGGTTCCAGGAGGGTGCGGCGTGAGAAGCGCCTTGCTGCCCTTGTGCTGCTGCAGCCCTGTGAGCAGCGAATGGATCTCTGCCACCATCACCCTCTCCGCCTCCTTCTGCTGCTGCTGCTGCTGCTGCTGCTGGGGCATGTGTGCATGCTGCTGCTCTTGCTGCTGCTGCGCAGTGCAGGGTGTGCGGGGCGGTATCACGTGTGGGTCTGGCTGTGCTCCCCTCATCACAGCTGCCAGCACCGAGCATGCTGCAGCCGCCGCCGCTGCCTCTGCTTCTGCATCCGCTGAACCTTCCACACCACTGCTGCCACTCACCTCCTCTGTGATCTCACACACGCCCTGCTTCTTCCTGTACGGCGCCTCACTCACACCCCTTCCTCCGCCACCCTCCTCCCCCCGCATCCTCCTCGAGCCCCCAACCCCTGACAGCGTCTCAAGAGCCGACAACCCAAACATGGACCCCGAATTCCCTCTCTTCACCCTCGCATCCTCAGAATCCCTGCTCACTTCCCCACCCCCCTCCCTCCCAGCTCTTCCCCAGCTGCCCTCGCCCCCCCGCATTCTGCCTCCCAGGGCAGCAGCAGCAGCCAGCGGCCCCTCGGTCCAACGAGAGATTAGATCCACAAACTGCCTCCGCACCTCTCCGGAGTTCTGCTCCCTCCCCTCCCCCTCTTCCACTCCTTGCCTCGCTGCCGCTGCTGCTGCAGCAGCCGCCAGGCCCTCTGTCCCCGTGCCAGCAACCGACCACCCAGCAGCAGAGCGCGTCACCTCCGGTCCCCCGGGAGAGGCCGCAGCAACCCCAGGGGTGGACGAGGAGGGAAGGTAGGAGGAGAAGGAGAAGGAGGCATAACGAGAGTCGGCAGAAGGGAAGGTTTCAGCGGGAGACACGCGGGAGAGGTCGGGGTTGAGCTTGAGGGAGCGGCCAAGGTGGTGGGACCAGCTGGGGGAGGTGGCAGTGGGGGGGAGCAGGTGCTGGTAGTGCGGATGGGAGGCCCATGAGAAGAGCTTCGGATCTTGGTTCTCCACACCATCGCTCCCAGCCGCACCAGCAGCACCAGCAGCAGCAGCTGTGCCCACGAAACCAGCGTTTTCACCAGTGGCTGTGGTGCCCCCAAGCGCAGCAGCAGCAGTGAGGGTGGCAACCGAACCAGGGAGTAGCTCCACCGACCACCCCTTTCTCAGAACCTTCCCCCACTCACTTCCCAGCCGCTTGGGGAAAACATCAGAGCTGGATTTGGCACTGAGCGAGCAGTTGTGATGGGTTTCAGAGGAGTCCCAAGTGGCTATGCCTGCATCTACCTCTGAGAGACATCTCAGTGGCTTCCCTCCCTCGCTTCCACCAGCTGCTTCCTGCCCTCCCTCCTGTTGCTCAGGCAGCATTGCCTGCAACGGATGTGAGCAGAGAACGGGGTCGTTGTGATGCGCTTGCTTCTGGTGCTGTAGCTGGTGATAATGGTGCGGTTGCGAGTGGTTCTGTGCGGGATAGTAACTCGCGGACCAGCCCCTTTTCCCTTCCACCACGGCCTCGCCAGAGCTCCACTGCGGCCCCTGTGGTCCCACCACGCCCTGCCCACCCTCCATCTGGACATGCAGCTTACCCACATACTCCCCGCGCTGGGTCTCTTGAAAGGAACGACACCGAGGGCCTACCCTCCGGCTCCCAGCATTCACAGCAACTGCTGGGGCAGCGGCAGCTGCGGCTGCTGCTGCCGCCGCTGCAGCAAGCGATTCGGCAGCAACCCAGGTCTGACGGGAGGTGTGGGCGTGGGAGAGGGGCGCAGAGGAGGGCATCAGGGCTTGTATCTCGGCACTGCGTGCTCGCCGCTCCTCCGCTGACCAGCTCCCTGCTCCTGCTGCTATCCTTGGCTCTTTGGCTCCCAAACCCCCCCTGAAACTGGGCACCGTTCGTTTCAGTCCAGCCCATGTGCCTGCTTCTGCCTTCCTTGACATTGCTCCCCCTTCAGCAGCCGCCACCGCTGCCGCTGCTGCCGACGAAGCAGCGGCCGCTGCAGCAGCAGCAGCAGCAGCTGACGCACCTGGAGGAGACACACTATCATCTCCGCAGGCCGCGGTGCCTCCCCGCTCCTGCACCTGCTTCTCCTGCGCCTCTTTCTCCTCCGCCTCCTCCTGACAGATAAGCTCATTGATCATATCCAATTCATCTTCCAACTGCCGCAACGACTGTTCCTTCATCTCGCGCATCTCCTGCTCTGCCTGCGCATCCGGCCCAGCAGGCTGCACCAGGTACGCCCTAGGCGCGTCCGCGTACAGCAGCAGCGGCTCCTCCTCTGCTGCAGGCGCGCGCAGGGGCGCCGCAAGCGCTCTCAGGTGAAGCTCTGCTTGCGACGGAGCGTCGATTTTCGAGTCCTTGCTAGTACCCGTGGTTGCTGCTGCTGCTGATTCTGTTCTGTGTGCTGCTTCCGCTGCTTCTTCCCCTCCGCCCAATGCGCCTCCTTGTGCGGATTGTTGCGGCAGCAGATGGTAGTGGTGGTGCAGGGGGCGGGCGTGGGCGTCGAGCAGGGAGGAGAGCAGCGCATAGCCCTTGCCTCGGTCCAGCACTCCAGGAAACGTCCGAGCCACCAGCACTGCTGTCACTTGCGACCACGCTGCTCCTGCTGCTGTTGCTGTTGCTCCCGCTTCCGCTGCTGCGGGTGCTGCTGCTGCTGATGATGATAATGGTGATGAGGCGACTGGGGAGGATGATTCTGATGGGGGGTCGGCAGTGCGCGCAGCATGCATGAGTGGCGACTCCTCCCTGTGCGGGCTCACAGAGCGAAGGAGAGAGCGCACGTAGGCGTGTGGGGGAGACGGCGCGTGGAGCGGAGACGGGGAGTGGGCGTCGAGAGACAGTTGTCGCTGGTGGCGGGCGCTGAGGCCGGAAGCGCAGAGGCGCATGCAGCCTGGGGGGCCGCGGCGTTGCTGGTGGTGGTGGTGGGAGTGGTGCGAGTGCTGCACGTATTGGTGCAAGAGTAGCACCATGGTGTTGCCATGTGCCTGGCAGAACACACAGACAGGGCAGAGCGCAGGCGGAGAGGGAGCAGGCGGAGAGGGAGCAGGCGGAGAGGGAGCAGGCGGAGAGGGAGCAGGCGGAGAGGGAGCAGGCGGAGAGGGAGGCGGAGAGAGGACAGGGCAGAGGGTATGAAGAGAGAGGAGAGGGAGTGGTGAGGGAACGGTGCGCAACAGGGTTCGATGGAACGCAATTCGGTCTGCTACCGCATCACACACATGCGAGGCAAGATGCAGACATGACATCCCGTGCGCCGTTTCGCTATCTCCACCTTGAATACCGTACCATGCACCATGGCTTCACCCATACCACCTCATCTCATCCCTAACGTCCCGTTCCTAACCTGTCATCCCTAACCTAGCCCAGGGTCTCACACACCAGTCGCGCGACCTAAAACAGCAAAGCAACATTCGTCGCGTCCCGTCCCATGAAATCAAGAAAGGAGGAGGTGGTGGAGGGGAGAGAGGGGAAGACGGAGGGGGGGGAGAGAGAAGGAGCATGCACATATGTGCACCTCGTGCCGCTACAGCGTATCGAAGAACTCACTATGGAGTACGGGTTGGCGTGCGGTGGCGCGTGAAGGAGCGCGTCGTGCGCGACGGGGAGGTAACGGTCGTCGCCCACGTGGGTGGCCACGAAGCGACCGTCGACCGCCACACCGAGCACCAACACTAGCGCCTCTTCCTTCCTACTACTGCCAATCTCGTCTCGTTTCCCATTCGCCCCTCGCCGTCCGTCGCGCCCCTCGTCGTCGGCAGTTCTGGTTGGTGCCCCTTTCAGTCGACCCCTGTCCTTGGACCATCCTTTCATGGCGCCGCTCCGTTCTCTCCCAATATCGCACTCTCGTGACCTATCGTTCTATCGCGATATCTCTCGTCGATTCCTGGTCTACACCACGCCGTGTCGTGAATAGGTTTTTGGCCTATCAGCAACTGTAAAATAACACCGATCGCTTCACCGATAATCCTTAGGGTGGAGAGAATCTGCTTTCCTAATGGAGGGGAGCCGAAAGGGAATCATGGATTCTACTGGCAGGCTGCAATTCTGTCTAAACGACTCAATTGTTTGACGAGTCCAAGTCCTTCGCGCTGGTACTACGTCCAGGCACTATATTCCACTAGACAGGAGATGCTAGGTAAGGAACTCTCGTTAGGTCAGAATAGCCGCGAGATTTTTATCGGACCAACTACAACCAGTGGAAGTGAAGAGAGATTCTTCGAACCTACACGTGAAGGAAAAGCAGGAAATGGCGTGAAGTCAAGCGCCTGCGCTTTACCTCCTCCGACGAGCTTGTCTGCCTCCCCGCGACCGTGAGCAAACCGCGGCCGAAGTGAGGAAGAGGCGGAGGCGGAGAAGAGAATCCGGTGGAGGCGGCTGAGCTGCGATAGGGAGGGGAAAGTCCCAGGGAGAAAGGGTCGTATTGGGAGCATGGTGGGTGAGGGTGAGGGTGACGGCGGGGAGGGGGTGCGGGTGGAAGCAGAGGGAGGGGGGAGGTGGAAGAGTGCGTGGAACGGCGAATGCTGCACAGCACAGCAGTTCAGTGGAGAGGGGAGCTCCAAGCCAAGATTCAGGGATGGGTGGCGTCGCGTGTGTGGTTGGCGTTTGAAGGAGGAATCGAGGAGAAAATCAAAGACGAATTCAAAGATGCTCGCTGACTGCGCTGCTGAGTCTGCTTGACTCGCTGACTCACACTGTCTCGATCCGTGAACTTGACAACAACCCGTCAATCCGAGTGGAGAGTGTTCACTGCTCGGACAGAGTTGAACGCTCTTGGTCGGTGGCTGACCCCACCCCAACCTGATGAGTACAGTATTTTTTAAGCCCGCCGGTCCGATGTCGGGCAGCCGTCGATGGCCGTCCGACGTCTCTCAACGTTTGTAGGGGACCGACTCTGGTAGGCTTATCGCCTATCGTTGAATCCTCTCCCCCAGAAAAAAACTTCCGGCGTCTACAAATTTGCAGCTAAGCTGAACGAAAGCGGTTGTGAACCGTGTTCGTCAAGGAGCAGCCAGGCTGACGGTGTGACTACGTATTACGGGTGCAATGAATCGAAGTAGTGAGAATTGCACTAAGGTGTCAAACGAGTACAAAATGTGAGCGAAGGCATGAGCGAACATTTATACGCGAAACATGCAAAACGGTAACGCGGTGCGTGCGAGCTTGCTAGTGCTACGCTGGAGCGAGGCTCGGGCTAGTCCCGAAACGTAGGCCGATACGGCCATGCCAGCAGTGCGAGGTTTGGCAAAACAGTGCGCGCGAAGTCGGCGAAGTTCCGTTAGCAGTAACGGGCGAACAATCGGCTGTTGCTGTACGCGATGTAGTCGGCCCCGTAAGGAATGCCGAGAAAATTCCTTACACTACCCCCCCCCCTTAAGAAGCCCCCTCCGCTACTCGAGTGCGTGTATATCGCGGAATCCCCGGCTCCTCAGGTACACTTGCAGGGCAGGGTGATTTTCGATGTTGCTCAGGGGCACCCAGCTATCTTCAGTTGGCGTGCGGTCTTTCCAGCGAACGAGGAATTCAATCCTCCTGATTCCCGTGGGGTGGCGGATCCGATGGCTCAGAATTTTGTCGGGCTCGATGATCGGCTCTGATGCAGGGCGAGTCATTGATTGTGGCCGGTGACGCGGCAGTTGACTTGTGGTCGGGATGTATGGGCGAAGTAGGCTGACGTGGAACGAAGGGCTGATGTACCAGTCGGTTGGCAACAGTAGGTGCGCGGTGACGGGTGTGATCATGTGACTGATTTGGAATGGTCCACAGTAGCGCGGTCGTAATTTTGGTACGTCGGGCAGTCGCAGATTTTGCGTGTCAAGCAGCACGTAATCTCCAGATTGGTACGTGACAGGACGGCGGTGGCGATCAGCGTTGCGCTTAGCGATGACGTTGGCCTTTTTTATTGCTTCGGCGGCTCTGGCACGGGCAGCTTGCAGGATTTCGGCGAATTGTTGTGCACGTGGCGTTGGGTTGTCCGGACTCGGCGTCATGGGCACTGTGGGGTTTTGCCCATAGTTCAGGTAGAACGGGGACTGCTGCGTCGTGGCTGATGTGGCGTTGTTGTACGCGAACTCGATCAGCGGCAGCTGCTGCTCCCAGGTCGTGGGGTCGTCACACGTGGCACGAATCAACTGCTCCATCGTCTGATTCGTCCGTTCCGTTTGGCCGTCGGTCTCGGGGTGGTACGACGAACTGAACTGTAGCCTGGTCCCGAACTGCTCCCAGAGGTTCTTCCAGAAGTTGCTGGTAAACTTCGTGTCCCTGTCGCTGATAATTGCTGCTGGTATCCCGTGCAGGCGAACAACGGCTGCGACGAACAGGCGAGCGGTCTCCTCGGCTGAGATCGACTTTTTGCACGCAGCGAAGTGTGCCATCTTCGTCAGCCTATCCACGACGACCATCACTGCGTCGTTACCCCCAGGGTTCGAAGGTAACCCTGTGACGAAGTCCATGGTTACTTGCTGCCAGGCGCGTTCGGGCGGTGGGATCGGCTGCAATTGACCCGCCTTCCGCTTCCTTGAACTCTTCATCACCTGACACGTCGGGCACGAGCCCACGTGCTGCTGTACGTCGGTCAACAGCTCCGGCCAGTAATAATACCGCTGCAGTTGCTGTCGCGTTTTTTCTACCCCGAAATGTCCCGAGGTAATCCCGTCGTGTGCCTCCTGCAGCAGCAGCTCCCTCAGTAGTGAGTACGCGGGTACCCAAATGCGGTTGGTGCCTGTTTTTACGTAATAGACTCCTTTTGCTTCTGCCAGTTGCTGTGAATTTCCGGTCGTGAAGAATGGGTCAGTGCGGTATCCGTGGGTGAATAGGCCAGTTAAAAGCGGGTTGGTCTGGGCGAGTAGGATGGCGTGGAGTTGGGCGGTGGGGCGGGTGAGAGCGTCGGCGATGTTGGATGCGCCTTTTTTGTACGTAACGTTGTAGTGAAAATTGGACTCGAGATAGTCCAACCAGCGAATCTGTCGTGGGTTGAGATTCGGTTGGGCGCGAAGGTACTGTAGCGAGCGGTGGTCTGTCCGTACTGTCACGTCGGCGCCAGTCAGGTAACATCGCCAAACTTTGAACGCGTGCACGATCGCTAGCATCTCGCGGTCGTGTATCGGATAGTTACGTTCGGGCGGGTGTAGTTTGCGGGACTCGTACGCGATTGGCTGGAGGCCGTTCCCGAAGTCCTGCAACAGTACTGCTCCCACAGCGATGTCACTTGCGTCGGTGACGAGCTCGAACGGACGGTGGGGATCTGCAATGTGAAGGACGGGCGGGGTGTCAGATTTATATGACATAGTTGCTGTAGGCTATAGTGGGGTAGCACATATGGGGTACAGGGTTTCTAGGGTTGTATTTGTACCCAATATTTCCTTAGTCATTTCATTCCTGTTTTCCTTGCTTCACATGGTATAGAGCGGGTCCTGCCTTAGGACCGTTTTTTTAGGGCCCACCGAAGCGCGCCCCGAGGCGCGCCCTTTTTTTTTTTAGCGACCCCTCGGGTCGCCTTTTCCCTCGCGGCCCCGCTGTCCCTCAGACGCGGCCCCGCCACCTCTCCTGATCGCGGCCCCGCCGCCTGCTTGACGCGGCCCCGCCGCCTCCCCTGACGCGGCCCCGCCGCCTCCCCTGACGCGGCCCCGCCGCCTCCCCTGACGCGGCCCTGCCTCTACTGCCGCGGCCCCGCCGCCGCCTCTGACGGCCCCGCCGCTGCACCCTACGGCCCGCCGCCTCTGACGGCCCCGCCGCTGCACCCTACGGCCCGCCGCTGCTCCTGCCGGCCCGCCGCCTCACCTGACGGCCCCGCCGCTGCTCCTGCCGGCCCGCCGTTGCTCCTGCCGGCCCGCCGCTGCACCTGCCGGCCCGCCGCTGCACCCAGCGGCCCGCCGCTTCACCTGACGGCCCCGCCGCTGCACCTGCCGGCCCGCCGCTGCACCCTACGGCCCGCCGCTGCACCCTACGGCCCGCCGCCTGCACCTGCCGGCCCGCCGCTGCACCTGCCGGCCCGCCGCTGCACCTGCCGGCCCGCCGCTGCACCTGCCGGCCCGCCACTGCACCTGCCGGCCCGCCACTGCACCGGTCGACCCGCCGCTGCACCTGACGGCCCCGCCCCTGCATCTCCCGGCCGAGCCGCCCCCGCAGCCGAACCGCCCGGGAGCCGAGCCGCCCAACGCCGAGCCGCCCGGGACCCGAGCCGCCCTGCCGCCGAGCCGCCCGGGAGCCGAGCCGCCCTGCTCCCGAGCCGCCCAGCCGCCGAGCCGTCCGGGAGCCGAGCCGCCCTGCGCCCCAGCCGCCCAGCCATCGAGCCGCTGTGCACCCGAGCCGCCCGGTCGCTGAGCCGCCTTTCTGCAGAGCTGCACGACCTGCCCTGCCTGGTGAGCACAGTCCCACTGACACTGCGAGCTCTTTCCCTACTGCTTGCACTGCGTCGCTGTCGTCGCCATGGCTACCCCTAGTGTCCTAGCTTTTGACGCTGAGGGTCGCGCCATTGATTTTGAGGTCTGGTTAGACGACCTGCAGCTGTTCTTACAGTGCGACAGGGCTGACGACCTTTCTCTCTTTGACCTCACCTCTGGCGCCTCTCCTGCTCCTGCTGCTGATGCTGATCCCGCTGTCCACTCTAAGTGGGCCACCCGCGATGCTGCTGCACGTCTTGCTGTGCGTCGCCACCTCCCTACCTCTGAGCGTGCGCACTTTAGTCAGTACAAGGGTGCTCAGACCTTGTACGACGCTGTAGTTGCGCGCTACTCCTCCCCTGCCACTGCTTCACTGAGCCGTCTCATGCTTCCCTACCTCTTTCCTAACCTCTCTGCCTTTCCCACTGTTGC